AAGACAGCATAGTTGATTCCAGACTCCAGTCAATGTGAAGTCCTGCAAAATAAGAACGGTTATGGGGGAAACAAGTAGAAAAATGAGAGAAGTACTGCTCGGTCGTGGGACGGATACATGAGTAATGAGGAAACTGTAATGGTCAGTTTTTAAGTTATAATTAACCACTGGAAACTGGCATCACAAGTGGGGGGGAAAACAAAAAACGACTAGAAACTATCAAGGAAGGGGGGGACATTCAGAAAAAAAGAAAAGGACGAAAATGAGGGCAACACAATCAAAAAGAAAAGGAGAAACAGTGAAAAGAAAACCAACGAAAAACACAAAAAAGGAGGAGAGAAACTAACAACCATTGACAAGCACGAGAGGAAGAAAAACATCAACCACAGCGAAACCAAAAACAATCCAAAAAAATAGAAATCACCATTCTAAAAAAGACCAAGAAAATAGACTTACCTCTTGAATCCAGAAGCCTTTGTCGTCTTTGCTAGGAACCCACGACCCGTGAGAAGGTAAATCCTTCACTTTTTTGTTTTTTGCTATCTCATGCATGTTGGTTTTAAACCTTATTTGATGGGTTTTAAGTAGGTCTCGGTCGGGATTGTCCTCGGATATAGGGGTTCTTATCATTTTCTCGTCGAAACTTAGGGAAAAGGAAACCTACAGTGGACGTAGGTTCGGTTTTGAGGGGTCTCGAGGGAACAATTAGAGCCTAGGCGTTGGGGTTTTGGTTTAGCGGTTGAGAGGCTCGTTGTCGGGGAGGTGGCAGCCGTGGTGGTTGCCATGGTTGAGGGCTACGCTTCGTCTATGGTTTAAAGAATGAAGAAGATGAGGTTGGGAAAAAACCAGAGAAAAGCGGCGAGGGAGGGGGAGAGTTGTCTGGCTTAGGGGTTGAGAGAAGAAGTAAATTAGAATCATATGTCAAAACGCCGTCGTTTCAGCCGTTACTTTCCTAGTTTCTATTTCTGACCCAGTATTATGCGCGCATTCCATTTCGGTCCCCAAAATCAGACATTTCGAGCTTTATTGTTATTTTAATATTGTCTCTTAATTTTAAACGTTTTATATTTTAGTCCAATTCCATATTAGGGTCATTTTTGCACTGTTCTTACATTGGTTATGTAATTTACGGAACTTTTATTTTGGTCCTTGAACGAATCTTTTGCACCTTATTAATTTTGTCTTCATATTTATGAGCGCTTTTCATTTTAGTCCTGAAATGTTTTTATGTTTTATTTTTGAAATGTAACTTGTAATTTTGGTTGTTTGACCATTTAGTCACTTAGCATGTTTTTTTAATTTAAAAGTTAATTCCTATTTTGCATGCTTAGTTTAATTTTATTTTATTATGGTCCTTCATGGTAAGTTTGAATGTGAAGTCGAGTTATTAATAGTATGTTTTATTGTATATATGGTTTTATTCTAATGTATGTTAATGTCGTAAATACATGTTTTTTTTTAGATTTAGAAGTTTGTTTGAGCGCATGGCATATTTTAATTAGTTTTTGCATGACATTATTTTGCATAATATACATGATAATCTCATTTGCATAACTTGACATATTGCATAATTAGATTAAGGGTAATGCCCTTTTAATTTAAAATTATTGTAAGTGGGCAGTCATAACTGATTTGAGGTCCGCTTTTAATGATTTTAAATTAAAAGTGTATCCCGAAAGTGAAACCAAAAAATTTGATTCGTCACCTAAAATTTGGGAACGAAAGAAAAAGAAATGTTCGTTTATTTAAATATATCGAGAAAAGGTTGTTATATCTTTAAGATCTGGTCTCGATATTTATAAATAATCGAACATTCTTTATCTTTCTAAAATGACTTGGTAATTTTAATTTAATTTGTTTGAGTGTTTTTGAATGTTTTAAATTTACATTTTTGTTTTATGGGATCAAAAATTAAATTAAGTTCGAATTTGTAAAGTTCATTGCAAAAACGTTAATTAATCGACTAGGTACTGATTTAGGGCGTTGTGGGGGTGCTAATCCTTCCCCACACGTAACCGACTCCCGAACTCAGATTTTGGTAATGCAGACCTCAATTTGTTGTTTTAATTAAAATTAATTTTTATTTAAAATGACAAAGCATTTTTGGGTGCCCAATCACACCCTAATCAAAGATTGGTGGCGACTCCTTGAACTGTATTTTTCGATCGTAAAGGAAATCTAAAAATTTTCGAAACGAGAGGTCTTTTAAATCGCATTTGTTTTTAAATTAAAAAGAGATAATTAAGAATTAATGTGGTTTTTAAAATCTCACCCTTTTTTCATCTTTTAAGAAAAAATCGTTTCGACAACTAGTAAGGAAAGCGACATGTGGATGGCTTCCATGGTTGATGAGATGGAGTCTTTGAATCACAATCGCACATGGAAGTTAGTTCTTCTTCCTGAAGGCAAGAAGCCTATTGGCTGCAAATAGGTGTATAAGAAGAAACCAGCAGCAACAGAAAAATATAGGGAGAAGTTCAAGACTTGTTTGGTAGCAAAGGGTTTTTCAAAGCAGAAAGGAGTTGATTATGATGAAATTTTTTCTTCTGTAATCAGGCACATTTCAATCCGAGAAGTACTTGCATTGGTGGCTAGTTGGGATTTGCATTTAGAGCAGATAGATGTAAAAACTACTTTTTAGTATAGGATTTAGAGGAGCAGATCTACATGTAGCAGCCTGAAGGTTTCACTCAACCTGGAAACGAGCATTTAGTTTACAGATTGAAGAAATCTTTGTACGGGTTGAAACAGTCTCCGAGACAATGGTACAAACGGTTTAACTCCTATATGATCAAGATTGGCTACAAGCGATGTGAGTATGATTGTTGTGTCTATGTTAAGAGCCTTGATGATGGTTATTTTATTTTTCTATTATTGTATGTTGATGATATGTTAATTGCTGCGAAGAACATAGATGATGTTATCAGTTTGAAAACTTTATTGAGTCAAGAATTTGATATGAAAGATTTAGGTGTTGTAAAGAAAATTCTCGGAATGAAAATTTGCAGGGACAGAGACTCAAGGAAATTGTGGCTATCTCAACGGGGTTATGTTGAGAAAATGCTAGAAAGGTTTGCAATGAGCAGCGCAAAACCAGTGAGCACTCCATTGACGAATCACTTTAAGCTCTCATCAGAACAGTGCCCTAAGACAGATAAGGAAGCTGAAGATATGGAAAATGTTTTGTATTCTAATGTTGTTGGCTGCTTGATATATGCAACTGTATGTACTCGTCCTGATTTAGCTCATGTTATTAGTCAAGTTTGTAAGTACATGTCTAAACCTGGTAAGCAACATTGGGAAGCAGTCAAGTGGATCTTTAGGTACTTAAAGGGTACTGTGGGACATGGAATTGTTTTTGGTAGTCAGCGGGATAATACTTTGGTTGTAGGATATGTGGATTCAGACTATGCGGGTGATTTGGATAATAGAAGATCTACAATAGGTTATGTCTTTACTCTTGGTGGAGGGCCTATTTGTTGAAAGTCTAATGTTCAATATGTTGTGGCATTATCTACAACTGAAGCTGAATACATGGCAGTGGCTGAAGCTGCAAAAGAAGCTTTATGACTTACTGGTTTAGTGAAAGAGTTGGGTGTTCAGCAAGGTGGAGTTCAGTTGCTTTGTGACAATCAAAGTACTATTCACTTGGCTAAGAATCAAATATATCGTGCTAGAACTGAGCATATTGATGTAAGGTTTCACTAGATCAGAGAGTTGGTTGCATCTGGAGAGATTTTGTTTCAGAAGGTACATACTGATGAGAATGATGCTGATATGTTCACCAAGCCAGTTACGACAGACAAGTTCATGCATTGCTTGGACTTGTTGAATGTTTCGAGTTGTTAAAGAAGTAAGGTAACCCAACCCACATTGAATGTTTCCTAAGGGGCAGGATATTCGCCAAGGTGGAGATTTGTTAGGTATGACTCATAAATATACTTACAAAGAAAGTCTCGTAGTGGGGGTTATGATTATGTGGGTTGGGGGTGCGGGGGCGCAGCTCCGCGGTACGGTATATGGTTATTTTTGTAAATATGTACAAGAGTTTATTATTATAAAAGGAGATGTAACCAAAACCTATGAGACGTTGAATAAAAATTCTAACGCAGCCTAGGGCACCGAGGACGTAAGCACATTGCTGAACCTCGTTAAAATTCTTGTGTTCTTTCCGTTGTCTTTACCCGATTATTCAACATCATTTAATTGGTTAGGAACCATCGATGAGATGGTAAAAAGGTTCAAAAAATAATTTCTTCAGCAAAATAGCAACCAACAGTACCATTGAAATAACGCTGGCCTCTCCATAATAAAATTTCCTGCCAACTGAATAAGTCTGTAGGTCGCATTAATGGATCCATGTAACGCTTTCGAAGATTATCTTGAGTAGGGTTTGGAAATTATCTCCTTTGTTCCTAATACGGAAGATGTGGAGGCCCCGCGGGAAGCTGTACTGCACCGAATAGTTCAAGCTATCCCTAGGATTTAACAACTCCACCTATTACAGTACCATGAGAAACTCCAAAGACTCCGATAAAGGACTAAAATAACAAAAACAATATAAAGTAAAAAATATCCACAACTTTACAAAATTAGAAGACTTTTATCCTTGGAAAAATATGTCACTTTAGGATTTTCTCACTACTAGATCCTAGAAACTACACAATTTAGACCGTGTTCCTTGATCTTATTAATTTAAAATTTGCCACTTAACCTAATTCCAAGAATAAAAAGAATTAAATATTCGACAACATCTACTGCAGCCCCAAATTTTAGACAAAACATTAACACTATTCCCATGTTAGAAAAGCACTTTCTTGTTTTTTTCCGAACAGTTGCATGCAAATGCAATGTACAATCATGGATGACTTCAGAGATCCAAGTTATATATGTAATAGAAAAAGACTTCTTCATCCATTTTTTCCAAGTAAACTGTTTACTATGAATGGGATTCAAACGTAAGTCACGATCTTGGAAGAAACCTACGAATTCAGTAATTAGTAACCCGCGTCTTTGACAGGTTGATTAATTGGATGATTGAAATCTTCGGATCACTATCTACAACCGATATAAATATAGATGGAATTGATTGAGTGATTCACAATTCCATAAGTGGTTGAAGAATTAAGTTATAGAGAAGTCTGAAAGATGGTGAGACAACCATATCTAAAGAAAGGAACGTGGAATTCTGATGAAGACCAGAAGCTGATTGCTTATATCATGAGATATGGCATTTGGAATTGGAATGAGATGCCCAGATTTGCTGGTATGATCACTTTAATGAACAAAATGTAATCAAAAACTTTAATTTTGTCAAGATTTTCTAATTAGCAGTTGGTTTTTGATTTGTAGGGTTGCAAAGGTCAGGGAAGAGTTGCAGGCTTCGTTGGATGAATTACTTGAGGCCTAATATAAGGCGTGGAAACTTCAGCAGGGAAGAAGAGGAAACCATAATCCAACTTCAAAAGGAGCTCGGAAATCGATGGTCAACCATAGCAGCAAGGCTTCCACAAAGAACTGACAACGACATAAAAAACTACTGGAACACTCGCTTGAAGAAAAGGGTAATATTGGAGAATAACAAGTCAACATCAGCAACCACAGAAACCTATTCCATTATTGAGGAGAATTCAACTGATACTGAGTCCTCAAACCTGCTAAATATTCCTACAATGGATGACTTCCCAGAACCATTGAGTTGCATCAATACTTCACCTGAAAACAGTTATAGCATGAGGGAAACTTTTGTTTCATCTGAAAACTATTGGGATATACCGAGTTTTATGGAGCAGCCATTAATAGCACAAGGTTTCGATTGTGAAGCATTAGCAACCACAGAAAATAATTCCAGTATTGAGGAGAATTTACCTGATGTCGAGTCCTCAAGCTTGCTTAACATTCCTACAATGGCTGGTTTCCCAGAACCATTGACTTACAGTGGTACTTTTACTTCATCTGAAAACAGTTATAGCATGAGAGACACTTTTGTTTCATCTGAGAACTATTGGGAGATACTGAGTTTTATGGAGCAGCCATTAATTGCAGAAGGCTTCGATTGTGTAGCATCATCACCAAATTCTCAGTTGTGGCAAAGCCATCATCAACACTACTATGATACTGTAGATGATTTCTGGGCCAATCCATTATTTTAGTACTGCATAAACCAAGCATCCTTACTTTGTTAACACTTTGAGTGGTTATCGGAAAGAACAGTCTGCACGAATCTATAATAAAAGTTATAGCGACTTGTTTTGTTAGCGATCTCAATGGCTATCACAAAAACTATAATGATGCAATAAAGCTTGCACATATAATACAACGTTAGTTTCAGTAATACTCGCAACAAACAACCTGCTGCAGCTGCGAATTCCCCTACTCAGATAGTCAGATTCCAAAACCAGTCCAGACCCCCAGAACGTTAGGCATTCAACCCATTCTTTAAGTTGTAATTTTAGGTTTCGGTCAAGCGATTAGGTAGGTTTTCCAGTTTTGTAATCTGTGAATAAGTTTAATTAAAACTAGTTAGATTAAGTTGTAAATGGGTTTAATTAGTTGGTTTGGATATAGATATTAGTATAGGGTAACTTATATAGAGTTCAATTCTAAATAGGTTTTGTACATGAATAAATTTAAATCAAAAATTAAATTTGGATCAAATCTTAAACAGGCAGTGTTGTGATTTCATTGGCTATTTATAATTAAATTTAAAAATCAAATCTTCTTAAACATCGACTGATAATATACTTTCTGTTTAGGGTACTGTTTTTAAATTAATCATATTATTAAAGTGTTATACATAGTAAAGTAGTATGATAATTGCAGACGTATATTGTCTCATAGTATGCTTCTTGTTCTATTTTTATGAGAAAAAGGAAACCCTAATCCGAGTAGTATAGAAACTTAGTTATATTAAAATCAGATTAAATTAAAAAAAAACTTATAAATTACAATTCCTCCTTACATTGCTCTGCCATTATCAAAGAAACCCTACTTTCAGCTTTAGATATTCTTCAGATTTAAACCCTTGTGCCCTTTATCTTGTAAAACAATGAAGCAAGAGCTTGATAAACACAAGTCAAAAGTTATCGATAATGACGATAATGGAGAGGATCGGTTGACTTATGAGGTGTACTCTGCTGCTTCATTCCTTATTCTTATGAAGCATGAAAAGTTAGACGAACGAGCTAAATTAACGTTAAATAAGAAGAAAAAATTGTTTCTTGGAGGCCAAGGCAAGCAAGAACAAGAGGAAGAAGCGAGTTCAAATATTATTGTTGGAAGAAACAAAAGAATCTTGGACGGCTATGAACCCCCGTTTATCCCTCCGATAGCAGCTCTCGCCGGTATCATCACCGAATGTAGCAAGCCTCACCAAAAGCGGCTGACGGAGACCGACTTAAAGAGAGATCAATCGAGGTTGCTTTTGTGCAAGGATCACGTCAAAAATTTCATGATACCATCGTTGAAAGAAGATGAGAATGTTCGAAACGGAATCCCGGTGATGGTGTTCGATTCAGAAGGGAACGGATACAACATGATATTCAAGCTCTGGGGTTCGAATATGTACGTGCTTACTTCTAGCGGCTGGCTATCGTTTTGCAGACAACATAGGCTGGAAAAATATGTGGATATCGTCACTGTTTGGATGTTTCGTCATGGGGTGAAACATAACCTTTGCTTTGTGATCACCACAAGAAGGTCGCCACCGTCACCGACAATCGGCAAAGCCGAAGAATTGCATAAAAGATCAAGAAAAAGGCTACGAGATTAGAATTATACTGCAGGGGGCATGGATTTTTGGTATTTTAGACTGATGGAAGTTTTGAGTATGCAAAAGCAATTCTTTGCCGTCCTCCACTTGTATCGGTGCTTTGATCGAGGTTATCGGTAGGGAAACGCATGTTCAGAGACGGAAAACATATACAAGAACTTATTATAATTGTTATATTTTTCTTCTTTATTTAAAATTTTGTTAAGTATAATTTTAATAAGATACAATTAAATGGTTAGATTTTTATATTTAATATTTTATCACTAATAAAATTGTGGCATGTCTTAAAATAAAATAGAAAATCCCAACTAATTAAATCAATGAACGTGCGACATGTTATAAAATAAAATGAAAATTATTGACTAATTAAATTCAAGGAACCTACATGAGTATTACTCAAAAGTATATGGTCTTGTTTAGATGACAAAATATTATAAATATTTATTTGAATAAATTATAATACTTTAAGGGGTTTTCAATATAGAAGTCAGAAAATTCTTTCAATAATAATTAATGAAGATATAAAGATAAATTTAATTATTTTTAATTAATTATATATATTTTTTTATTTTTAATTAAATTTGATTATCATCTTTTTCGTATTACTCAAATTTAGGGGTCGTTTAGAATGTTGTAAAAGTGCTTTTGATTTAAAATTCCGTTTGGAACGCAAAAACATTTTCAACTAAAAATTCAAATTTACAACTTGATTTAAAACTTGATTATTGAGAAAACAAAAAAAAACTTAAAAAAATTATGCTTTTATGTTACTATTTTTAATATAAATACTTATTAAAGCATTAATTTTTTTATTATTATTTACATATTATCTCATATAATAGTTTATGTATACTTTAAAACAGTTCGTTTGATATAAAAATGAATTTTTATAAATCTATGCTTAAAGTTATAAGAAGAATAAAACTTCATAAAAACAATTAATATTTTTTTTTGTTGCCTTTCCGGTTCTAAGGTTTCGCTTGACTAATCCAGACCAACATTCGTCGCACACCTAGTTTTGGTAGATAAGTCTTCTAACAGATATTTTCTGCATACACAAAGACTCAAACTTGAGACATTGCTTAAGCTATATCAAGTCACTTACCATTTGAATCAACCATTGTTGGTTAAAAAAAATCATATTTTTTCAAAATAAAATATATTATTCATTTTTATTTTAATTAAGTAATATGAATAATTAAAAATTACCAAATAAGCATAATTTATTAATAATATGTGTATGTTAAAGTATAAAATAATAAAATAACACTCCAATCAAGCTTAGCCTAAAACAACTTCACATAATCTTCCATCGAATTTCAACGGAGTTCATTTTAATGTTCATGTGACTTCTCGATTACTTTGGTGTGTGAACTTATATGTCTATTACATTCTTCAAACATTGGTGTCTTAAAAAATTCAATTAACTTTCCAGCTTCCTAGGAAAAAAATTGCAAACAGTTATGAATTATTAGATTTTGTTGCATTAAAAAATATATTTAAAAAAAATTATAAGTAGAGTATACAATTATTTTTTGTTAAACACAAATTAGATCTTTAAATAAATAAATTTTCATTCATTATTTAAGAATTAATATAGAGAATATTAAAAGGATAAAATCATAATCATATAATATTTATTTTTATTTATAAAAGCATATTTTAATAATTTTAACTACATTCACATTCTATTATTTATGTTATCAACTCCATCGACTATTTAATTAAAAAAAATAACCATCAACCTTAGTCTTTTATAATTAATTTTAAATTGATTATTTACTTAATTCCTAGCATGTGCAACAAAAAATATATATTTTAATAATGCCAGCACCCAGTTTTAGACTGACGATGATATTAAGCAAATATGCCCAATCCCATGCTATTGGTGGAATTAGAAAACACCGATCAGAGCCAATTTTTTCCAAGTAAACTCGTCTATCCTTGGTCAATTCAAACATATCTAGGAAGGATCCTACTTACTAATCTTCGGCTTTGACATATTATTTACAACCGATATAAATAGAGACGGAATTAACTGAGAGATTCGCATTCCATAAGTGGTTTAAGACATTCAAGTTCCACAATGTCGAAACGAGATTTTGAAAACAACATCATATTTAATTATTCTCTTTTTGATTAAATTTTAATTAAAACAATGCGATTTTAGAAAACCTCTCGTTTTGAAAATTTTTGGGATTTCTTAAATAAATATGGTTCGAGGAGTCGCCATCAATCCTTGATTAGGGCTAGGGTGTGATTGGGCACCCAAAAATGTTGTCATTTTAAATAAAAATTTATTTTAATTAAAACAACAAATTGAGGTATGTGTTACCAGAAAATGAGTTCGAGAGTCGGTTACGCATGAGGAAGGATTAGCACCCCCACAGCGCCTAAATCGGTACCTAGTCGATTAATTAACGTCTTTGCAATGAAATTTACAAATTCAATTTTAATTTGATTTATGATCCCCAACAAAACAACAACATACGAGTTTTACAATATTTAAAAGCACCAAAATAGATTAAATTAAAATTACTCAGCCATTAGAAAGATAAATAATATTCGATAATTTAAAAATATCGAGACAAGATCTTAGATAAGTTCTAACTACATTTTCTCAAAAAATTTAAATAACCGAATATTTCCTTTTCTTTCGTTCTCAAATTTTAAAGTGATAAATCAATTTTTAGGTGTCACTAATGGGATATACTTCTAGTTTAAAATTGTCAAAAGCGGATATCTAATCAGTTAAGACCACCCACTTAAAACAATTTTAAATTAAAAGGATATTATCCTTAATTCAATTATATAAATATGTCGAGTTGTGCACATGAATATAACATGCAAAGTAAATATAAACAAATAATTTAAAGGAGGAAAATATTTAACGAATGACTAGATTAAAAGAGATATGTAAAAACTAATTCTAAAGAGTAAATAAATACAATTATGCTAAAATCAAAAATACAAATTTAATTAAACTGATAATCATGAATAAAATTTTAACAAATTAAATATTAGAAATGTTAATTAATAATATAATTAATCTAGGAACTAAAACACAATCTGGCAAAATTACAAGTTCTAAAAGAAATAAATAAAAATAATCTAATATTAGACCGAAACAGCTAATTAAACAAACAAAAACAAAAAAAAGACAAAGATCTCACATTCTAGGCATTAAAATTGTAATAAATCCGAGACACTACACTAGACTGAAATGAAAACTAAGAAAATGTTATGCCGAAAATGTAACATCACAGAAACATAAAATAACAGAATCCCAGGACTAAAATAGAACATGCGAAAATTCAAAGATTAAATCACATTTTCGAATATCTCAATCTGAGGACCAAAATATAGGGAGTCAAAAATGATTAGACCTAATATACTAACAACCCTAAGGTCACGGTGGCTTAACCTTAATTTACCCTAAAGCTATAATATAAATCCTAACTAAAATAAGAAACCTAACATAATTCTAAACTACCAACCCAGCCGCATCATCATCTCCACACTCCATCCCTCTCGGCCTCTCATCAATCGAGCCTAATGAAGCCGGCCAACGTTCAAGGTGGTTCCCTCCTCTCCATTCAACACATGCCACAATCGAGGAAAAACGACCACCGCGACCCTCTACCGCTCATCTAACAAGGTAAACACTTCTAACCATTTGTATTTTGCTCTTCTTGATTAACTAATTTCACACAATATACTGGAAATTGAAGTAATCAAAGTGAAACAAATACCTCTAAAGATTCTTTGATTGTTATTTGCTTCGTAAAAACAGGGAATCACTTACATTAATTGCTTTAGTTCAACCAAAAAAAGGGGTAAAGATCGAAAAGCCCTTTACAAACTTCTCTCGTTTTTTTTATCCTTGAATACCATCTGCTCTTGATGATTTTGCTTCCTCCACGTGATCTCCCCTCTATATTGTTTTCTGCTTGCGTGATTCCTTCTGTTCTCAATGACCCCCCTTTTCTTCCTGTTTTCTCTTTCTATTTATTGCTCGAAATCCCATCAGTAAAAATAATTTCACCCTTAATTGACTTTTTTTTAATAATATGCTGCCCCACTGCCTTGAATTTGCTGATGGATTAGGTTTGGGTAGGTGGAATCTGTTTTTGACTTTGGCATGTGATTGCTAGATGATTTGTGCAGCTTCAATGGTGGCATGATTGGCGGCCTCATTCACGCAGATGGGAGCAGTAGTGAAGCACACACATTTCTGGTGGCTGGCCGGTTGGATCTTGTAACCTGATCTGGATCCGGGTCTTGGGCTTGAACCATCTTGTAATTGGGTTGATATTTGTAATTGGGTTTTGGGCCTGTAAAATATAATATGTAACATTAATAATAGTAATAATAATAATAATAATAATAATAATAATAATGTATTATAATATAATATTTATAATAATAATAGTTATAATAATAATAATAATATAATATTAATATAATATTTATTACCCGGACAAAAACGAGTGTCTACAACTGCCCCTATTTGCCAATTCTTTTGTTAACAAGAATAGGGCAAAGAAAAAAAGACAGTGCGTTTTTGTCTAGTTATTTCTTCGTGCTTTGAAACTTGATGAGGGATTTGCTCCCTCTTCTATGAACAATCTTCGACCAGCGGGTTCGCTCTCTCTTGCTTCAGGGAGTGTAAAACTCAAACAATCTTCATAAAACGGGTCTGTTCCCTATTCTTTCAGAGAGTATAGGACTCGATCTTCAACAAACGTGTTCGTTCTCTATTCCTTCAGAGAGTATAGGACTTGAACAACCTTCAACAAACGTGTCCGCTCCCTATTCCTTCAAAAAGTATGGGACTCAATCTTCAACAAACGTGTATGCTCCCTATTCCTTCAGAGAGTATAAGACTCGAACAATCTTCAACAATCGTGTCTGTTCCCTATTCCTTCAGTGAGTATAAGACTCGAACAATCGTGTATGCTCCCTATTTCTTCAAAGAGTATAAGACTCGAACAATCTTC